GAAACTTGGCATACGGTCACATAATAACTATCTGGGGGTATTTTAGTTCGAAATTCCAAGAATTACTGGAGTTAGAAAAAATCGCAATTTTCATGGGAGAGGGGGGAGGGAGGGAAATTCCAAAATACACATTTTCTGCGTATTCACATAAGGCATCTGGGACTAAAATTTGGTGTTCCTAGTATGCAGTTTTTTTACATTCTTTTATCTATACTATATATCTATATATATAAAACAGTTTGTCCTGACTGACTGACTGATTGGTGATCAACGCACAGCCCAAACGGTAAAGGCTAGGAAGCTGAAATTTGGACTCAAGTATCCTTTCGAAGTCTAGGTCCCCACTAAGAAGGGATTTTGGAAAACTCGAGCTCCAAAGGGGGGAAAACAGGCTCCAACGTTTGTATGAAAAATCTACAGTTTTTCTGATTAACTTTAAACTTAGTTTGTATACTCTCAGAACAATTCCAAGAAAAACTGTATACTTGGTTTTTTGATATTTTTTTTTGGGCCTAAAATATGGGAGTTTTCCTGTAAAAAAAATGTTGGGGCACAAAAGCAAATCGCGTCAACAGCCCACAGCCCACACGGTAAAAGCTAGGATGCTGAAATTTGGGCTCAAGTATCTTATCAGGGTGTAGATGCGCACTAAGAAGGGATTTTGGAGCTCCAAAGAGGGGAAGTGTAGCTCCAAAGTTTGTTTGAAAAATCCGCATTTTTCAACCGACTTAAAACATAGTTTCACTTCAAGCTATGCAAACAGATTGCAGAAGCTGAAGGCACACACGTCACCAAAGAGCCGAGCTGGACACGCTTCTAAATTACACTTCGTGCCCAGCAAAGCTCTCCGATTTGGGTCATTGAGGAATTAGAACAAAGTAAATCAGAAAAATATCTGCGAAATTTTTGGATTTTGGAAAACTCGAGCTCCAAAGGGGGGAAAACAGGCTCCAACGTTTGTATGAAAAATCTACAGTTTTTCTGATTAACTTTAAACTTAGTTTGTATACTCTCAGAACAATTCCAAGAAAAACTGTATACTTGGTTTTTTGATATTTTTTTTTGGGCCTAAAATATGGGAGTTTTCCTGTAAAAAAAATGTTGGGGCACAAAAGCAAATCGCGTCAACAGCCCACAGCCCACACGGTAAAAGCTAGGATGCTGAAATTTGGGCTCAAGTATCTTATCAGGGTGTAGATGCGCACTAAGAAGGGATTTTGGAGCTCCAAAGAGGGGAAGTGTAGCTCCAAAGTTTGTTTGAAAAATCCGCATTTTTCAACCGACTTAAAACATAGTTTCTAAAATCAATTAAAGAATACAAAAAAAACTGCATACTTAAATTTTCGAAATTTGTGTTGGAGCTTGAATTATTGGGGTTTTAATATATATTCAATATTTCAAATGAAAAGTTTGTGTTATAAATTTAGTCCGATCGATTTAAAATTTGGGTAATGTAATCTACTTAACTAAATCTACAACTTTGCATTCAAGGATTTTCAAAATATGCATTTTACAAAAGCAGGCAGAACAAACAATACAAAATATCAAACAGTTGGGGACAACTAAGTATACATACACACACATACAAACAGCTGTTCGTTTAGTTGCATGCAAACGATTGAAATAGCCAAAGCAAAATGTGAGACACTAATGTGTGAATGTCCATACAGATGTGCACATCTATGTATGTACATATGTATCTACATATGTATGTATGTACATTCGTCTTGCACTGACAGAGCAAGAAATGTTAATTAATTGAAAATTATATAATATAACATTTTTAAAAGTCATTTTTTCTTTGTTTAGTGCATTTGGCATTAGTGTTTTCATGCAGCAACAACAAATATCAAATAGTTGGGGACATCACATACACACACACACACAACAAGCAACAGTTCGTGTTTATGTGTGCGGTTCTCTACGTACGGTTGAAAAAGTAAAGAGAAACATATGTACATATGTATGTATGCCTGTGTATGAATATAGCATGTATGTACATTCGTATTAATGTATACATTGGGCAATCGAACACAGTTGTTTGATTGTAAAAAAAAAATAATGCTCTAAAAACAACAACAACTGCAAGTCATTAGCTCGCTCTTCTTCTTTCGTTTTGACCATTTAATGTTAATTGCAAAGGCAAAACGCCAAAAGTTTACAGTTACCGTCGCTAGGCAACGACTGCGTAAGCGATAGTAAAGCAGAAACCGAATAACGAAGCTACGCATATTCTGCTTCGCATTGCGGGCAGATGAATGTATGTATATGATTTGTTCTTATTGAACTCAATAAATAATTAGATTTTATTATTTAAATATTCTGCTTATTGCATTCAAACTTCGATATTTTGATGGTATCGGTGGCTTCAACTATCGAAAGTTTTACTCTAGCAAATTGAGATGAGAATTGTCAGTGCTTTTTGATCGTGGCTCATCGCTGCACGGCATTGACACGAGTGCCGTGTTTCATATTCCGAGTTTGTGCGTGACCGCATTGACTCAAAATGGCACGAAAAGACTCAAATGTGAATTTAAAATTAGTATATACCCTTATAATTATTCCCCTTTTTTGCACATAGTCTAATTTAAAACGTTGCGTTATCTCTATATATAAAACATTTTGTCCTGACTAATTGGTGATCAACGCACAGCCCAAACGGTAAAAGATGAAATTTGGACTCAAGTATCCTTTCATAGTATCCATCATAGTATCCATCATAGTGTAGGAGCACACTAAGAAAGGCTTTTGGAAAATTCTAGCTCTAAAAGGGGGAAAACGAGCTTTAAAAAATATTAGTTATAGTGGTCATGTTCGTTTAACGAAATAGTTTGGCAAGAACAAAAATACTGAACAATTTTTTGTCAAGAACAGAAAAATGTTCATTAAAATACCTTAAATGCCTACCTACTGGTAACTTATAAGGTGAAAACATATGGGTAGGTTATGCACACACAAAATAAATACAATTAGAAAAATTATATTGAGTTATATTGGTTATATTGGTTAAGACGGGCAATACCTGCTAGTAATTTATATATAATGGTTGTTTAAAATTTTATTCAATTCTGTCAATTCTAAGAAAAGTTATTAGCGAACGAATTCCAAAAAATAAAATAAACTCGTCCTTTCTCGGACCTAGGAGAATCTGGATGCCAACTTTGGTTATTCTAGCTTTTATAGTTTCTGAGATCCTCGCGTTCATCCAGACGGACATGTCTAGATCGATTTCTCTCGTCATGCTGATTCAGAATATATATACTATGAAATACTCTGTACATATGTTTACAATAATTATAGAAAATAAAAAAAATTAAGAAAATTAAAAAAAAAATTTTTGATCGATTTTACCTTTCTCGGTATTCGAACTCACGTAAAGGGTGTATAATTGCACATTTACATAGCAATTGCGTCTGTGTGAGTGTATGTATGCCTATTCGCATCTATTCGTGTCTGTGTAAACATGTGTGCAGTCAACCAAAGCACCAGCATCAAAAACAGCCGCGGGCAGGGTATTTCCAAAATTTTAGTTAAAAATTCCAAGAATTACGGGAGTTACGATTTGTGGGGTCGAGGGGGGAGGGAGGGAAATTCCAAAATGCGAATTTTCTGAGCATTCACATAAGGCATCTGGGACTAAAATTTGGTGTTCCTAGGTCTTATAGTCTCCGAGATATATGCGATTATACGAATGGAAAATCGGGAAAACCCCCATAGGGGGGAAATGGGGGGGAAAATCAAAAAAATAAAACAAACTCGTATAGAATACACACATAAGCCATCTTTATGCAAAATTTGGTGCGTGAGGATACTCTGCCAAGGACTCGCTGGAGAAATAAATCAAAAAATACTTACTAAATAGGGGATAATTCGTAGAAATTTCGAAATGTCTTTGGCCGCTACAAACACTATCTTATTTTCCATACTAATATGGCCAAAAGCAAACTTTTGTCATTGTGACGTAGTGAGACGCCTCACGGTCACTTCAAGCTATGCAAACAGATTGCAGAAGCTGAAGGCACACACGTCACCAAAGAGCCGAGCTGGACACGCTTCTAAATTACACTTCGTGCCCAGCAAAGCTCTCCGATTTGGGTCATTGAGGAATTAGAACAAAGTAAATCAGAAAAATATCTGCGAAATGGGAAAATCACTAGAGGTTAAATCAAAAGTCGATATAAATATATATATAGTAATATGTATATAAATGTAGTAATAAATTCAATGATTGTTTTTTTTATACCCTGTACCCAAAGGGTGAAAGTATATATATTTTTGATGAGGATGACAAGACGAGTAGATATAGCCATGTCCGTCTGTCTGTATGAGCGCAAGGATCTCAGTAAGTACAAGAGGTAGGATAACCAAAATTGGTATCAAGGTTCCTATAAGCCCTAGGCAGATCGAGTTTGTTTATTTTGATATTATTCTGATACACCCCCCACCCCCACTCCCCCGCAATTCGTGTTTTTTCTTATAACTTCCGTAATTCTCGGAATTTTGAAATCAATTTTGGTAGGTACAGTTAGTACTAATGTGTCCGTGTGCCAAATTTCATCATGATAGGTCAATTCTGAAGAAAGTTATAGCCATAAGTAAAATCGCTGCTCATGCGCTGCCTGCAGCTCTGTCGGCAGCGCTGCCCGCAGCTGTTGTTGTTGTTGCTGGTTGGTTGGTTCAACTTTGTGCTGCATACATACACGCATATAAACACGCATAGGTACGTGATGTAAATGTATGCTGTTAAAACCGAACATAAACATGTATTCTAATTTAATTTCATTAATTGATGAATTCATTCATTTTTTTTAATAATTTCATTTAAAAAAAAAACTTTTTTTTGTTTTAATTTTTTCTATTTTGTGGAGAGTACAGGGTATTTTACTGTCGGGCTTGCTCGACTGTAGCGTTCTCTCTTGTTTATTGTTGGTTTTGTGAATTGTCGATTTTATTTACAATTTTATTGTTATTTAATATTTTTATATAATTAATTTTGTCAGGAAAAGGATCAATACGGAAACGAAGTGCAGCGCCTGGCACGTCCGCTGCCCGTAGAATATCTGCTGGTCGATGTGCCCGCCTCCACCCCCCTGCAGCCGCAGTACACATTTACAGAGTACGACAAACGTCAACCATTCCCCGTCGAGAATCGCTACATCGACGGCCATCTGCAGGACTTCAATGCGCTGAGCAATTACCTCTCAGCCTGGAGGGAGGAGGAGTTCCTTGAGTCAATATCCGATTTCCATTTGTTGGTTTACCTGTACAAGATGGACATGTTGCCATTGCGCCAGCACATGGCGCCACTCTTGGAGGCGGTGCGCAACAAAAATCCAAACAAGGCGGCCGATTTCAAAGGCGAAGAAGTCTGGAAGCTGCTCGAGTCGCTAATACAGGCCAGTTCCAGTGGCAGCGGGTGAGTCTCTGAGCAATCAACCTATCAAAATATAAACATATCTATAAACGAATTTTATCCGCAGTGGCACCACCAGCTACCCCAGTGGTACAGCGGCCACCGGTGGCGGCGCAGGCGCCGATGCGATGGACTTGGATGCCAACACTTGGACCTGCAACCATTGCACGTTTATCAATCGGGGCGAACTTACTTCCTGTGAGATATGCTCACTGCCCAGATAAGATGGTCTCATAGTGTCGGAGGGAAATACCCATTCAAAATTTATGGTGTAGAAGAAACTAAAGATTCAATCGAACTAGTAACAGATGGAAGTATGCCCGACCTTTTAAAGAACGTCGTGCGTTCTATAAATAAGTAAAACTATATAAGAATTTTATAAAATATAAAAAAAATAAAATTGTAATTTATTTTTAATAAATTAAAATTGTTGAGTATATAAAGGAACAACCAAAAAAGGCTATCTCTATACATCAACGACAAAATAAATTATTTTCTCCGTACGAGCCCTAAGCTCAATAATTGGTACTTTCAATGACGTACAGTGATGGAAAAAATATTAAAACGACATTCCACTTTTCACTAAAAACTTAATTCCATAATTTCTGGACAAGTTATAAGGGTTTATTCTACTACTTACGATAATTGGTTATAGGAAGTTCATTGTGGTTTCGTTTTGGCACGTATTTCGTGTGCACTGATTTGGTAGGTGACCACGTTTTTGGGTTGAAAAAAAAAAACGAAACGCCCTTTTTGGAAAAATAGTGCATTGTAAGGCGCTAATTAAACGTATTTAGGTAATATTTTAACATTATAAGTAAAGGGTAAAAAAAAACAAAATAACAATTCTTGTACAATTTTCCTGTTAATATGTTAAGAATAGGTCGGGGATATCATTTCACAGCTACGAAAATAAAAGCAAATCAATGGCTGTAATTGTAATATTATTGCATTGATCAAAAAATAAAGTGTTTTTTTCGGTTCATTTTGGATTAAAAAGGAAGAAACAGGGGTAGAAAACTAGCCAAGTCTAAACAAGAGAGAGCGCTACAGTCGAGCAAGCCCGACACTGTAATACCCTGTACCCAGGTAAACTTCCGTAACTGAGTTATATGCGCCCATAGCTGAAGCAAAAAGAGGAAGAAGAAGAGCGAACTTGTTGCTGCAGTTTGTGGGGGTTGTACTGGCGAGAATTTGTTTCGCTAATAACTTTTCTTAGAATTGACCGAATTGAATAAAATGTAGAACAACAGTAGACAGTTATATATAAATTATGTGTGAAAAGTTTGGTTTAGGTAGCATTTGAAATGTGGACGCTATTGACAAAATTCTGTAGCGGGGGAAAGGGGGGGGGGGGGGGGGGGGAATTAAAAAAAAAAAAAAAAACTCGCCCTTTCTCGGACCTAGGAGAATCTGGATGCCAAATTTGGTTATTCTAGCTTTTATAGTTTCTGAAATCCTCGCGTTCATCCAGACGGACGGACATGTCTAGATCGATTTCTCTCGTCATGCTGATTCAGAATATATATACTTTATGGGGTCGGAGATGCTTCCTTCTGCATGTTACATACTTTGCACAAACCTATTATGCCCTTTTTACCCTACGGGTACAGGGTATAAAAACTGCTGATTTGAAAGCAAATTCTGCAAGATAAGTTTCCATGACTTATAAAAACAAGAGAGAACGCCACAGTCGAGCAAGCCCGACAGTACTCTCCACAAAAAAAGGAAAATTAAAAAAAAATCAAATTATTAAACAAGTAAAAAAGCTAAAGTCGGGTGTCCCGACTTTGAAATACTCTGTACATATGTTTGCAATAATTATAGAAAATAAAACAAGAAAGGAATGCTAAAGTCGAGCAGGCTCAACTCTTAAATACCCTGTACCACCCCACAAAAAAGTAATTAAATTAATTAATTAATTTAATTTAATTAATTAACTAAATTAATTTAATTAATTAACTAAATATTAAAATAAAAAAATATAAATAAAATATTCCATGCATGCATACATACATTTACATTTCCATCAGAATCGTGCCTTATGCGTGTTTGTGTACTTGTACATATGTATGTATGTGTGCATTGGGCCTGGTTATATGGCTATAACTTTCTTTCCGATCATTCTATCATAATGAAACTTGGTATACGGATATATAATTACTAACTGGATGTGTCTAACAAATTTTCAAAATTTTCAAAATTCCAAGAATTACGGGAGTTGTAGAAAATCGTTAATAGGGGGGGAGTGGGGGGGTGGATCAGAAAAAATGAACAAACTCGTCCTTTCTCGGTCTCAGGAGAATCTGTATACCAAGTTTGGTTATTCTAGCTCTTATACTTTCGGAGATCCTTGCGTTCATACAGACAGACAGACGGACAGACGGACATTGCTATATCGACTCGGCTTGTCATGCTGATCAAAAATATATATACTTTGTGGGGTCTACCAAGCCTCCTTCTGTGTGTTCCATGTGCACTCGCACAAAACTAATATACCCTTGTACCCTTTGGGTACAGGGTATAAAAAACGGTTAGTATCGCAAAGTATTAGCTTAACAGGAAATACTTTCCTGCTTGCACCCCAGAACTAAACCCCGATTAGAAATTGGTGGACTCTAGAAAAAACGACTCGATTAGCAAAATACAGCACCGAAAGGAAGTGGATCGAACTTATTAAAAACAAGATAGAACGCTACAGTCGAGCAAGCCCGACAGTAAAATAGCCTGTACTCTCCACAAAAAAGAAAAATTAAAAAAAAAAAAATTAAAAAAAAAATTTAAAAAAAAATTAAATTATTAAAAAAAATGAATGAATGAATGAATTAATTAAATTAAATGAGAATACATGTTTATGTTCAGTTTTAACAGCATACATCTACATCACGTACCTATGCGTGTTTATATGCGTGTATGTATGCAGCACAAAGTTGAACCAAAGCAGCAACAACAACAACAGCTGCGGGCAGCGCTGCCGACAGAGGCAGCGCATGAGCAGCGATTTTACTTATGGCTATAACTTTCTTCAGAATTGACCTATCATGATGAAATTTGGCATACGGACACATTAGTACTAACTGGATGTACCTACCAAAATTGATTTCAAAATTCCGAGAATTACGAAAGTTATAAGAAAAAACACGAATTGCGGGGGAGTGGGGGGGTGCATCGAAAAAAAACTCAAACTCGTACTTTCTCGGTCTTAAGAGAATATGGAAACCAAGTTTGGTTATTCTAGCTCTTATACTTTCTGAGATCCTTGCGTTCATACGGACAGACGGACGGACGGACAAGGCTATATCGACTCGGCTTCTCATCCTGATCAAGAATATATATACTTTGTGGGGTCTGCCACGCCTCCTTCTGTGTGTTACATACATGCGCACAAAACTAGTATAGCCTTTCACCCTTTGGGTACAGGCTATAAAAATTAAGAAAATAAAAAAAAATTTAATCGATTTTACCTCGGTATTCGAACTCACGTAAAGGGTTTATAATTGCACATTTACATAGCAATTGCGTCTGTGTGAGTGTATGTATGCCTATGCGCATATATTCGTGTCTGTGTAAGCATTTTCGTAGTCAACCAAACAGCAACATCAACAACAGCCGCGGGCAGCGCAGTGGTATCAACATAATGCTACTTGTATGAGGACGTTTTCATCCTTTCGGTATTGGGTCCAATATTTTGGTTTAAGGATGAAATCTGCGCTATGGATTACGTTAATATACTTAAGAGCATAATGCTTCCATATTTTGAGGAAGAAATGCCGGTAATGTTGGAGTTTTTTCAAGATAATGACCCAAAACACACTGCAGCTTGCAATAACAAGGTTCCATTAAATCAAAGGTTCTTCTGGAACGGATTTTACATGATCGCACTTAAATCCCACAGAGGCACCTATGGGGAATATAAATAAAGAATATTTTTGGGCTTAAGTCCAAAAACAGAGACTATTTATGGCAAAAAGTGCAGACCGTATGGTATGCCATTAATCCCCCAACATTTAGTGCAAGCTGGCACTACCAAATATTAGTAAAAACCCCAAATTTTATTCATGGTTTATGTCTTGGAATTAAACAAAATTTTGTTTTCAAACAATCGAACAATTAAGAGATAGAATCTTAGCCTTAGCCCCTAAATCGAGAAGTACACGGGGAGTGTAGTTAAGATTGTAACGGGAAACATGAACGCTAAAGATGTGTCAAAGATCGATCACAAATTTCAGAAAATAATAGAAATCGAGCAATATTTGAATTACAAAACAAACGTCAATAAGGAAAATATTATTAATTTTCAGAACATTACTGAACATTTTAATAGAGAACAGAATGAAGTAAAGAATTATATCAATACTCTAAACAATGACATTTTTAAGGAATTACAAGAGGAGAATATTAATTTTCATAATCTCGAATTGGCCGGGCGATTACATTACAATATCGAGTTACTAAAATCTCATATTAATAGCATCGCCCAAAACATGCTATTGGCTAAACTAAACATAATACCCAAGTTCGTATTGCCTAGAATTGAACTAAAATATATTTACAAAATATTAGAAGAACAGGGAATTAATATTAATTCCGAACAGCAGCTCTATAGAATGCTCACAGTGAACTTGGAAACTGATGATATGAATATCGTATTTCATATTAAAATCCCTATTTTCGAAACAACTTATTATCATTTTTCTCGAATTGTAAGACTACCAATTAATGGCACAAAATTCCTAACTCTACCTAGATTCATAATGTATAATAAGGAAATAAATAATATGCTTAGTTTCCCTAAAAAATGCCCTAGAATTAACAATCTATACGTATGCGGAATCCTGGAGGCCGAGGACGACTTCATCAACAGGGAATGTCTCTCCGACATCTTGAATGGAAAGGACCCTAAGTGCGGGGCGACGATCTTCGACAAAAGACAGGCCATCATCGAACCGGAACAGCAATGGATCATCTTAATTAATGAGAACTTTACCAACATCACTCCTAGCCGTGCAGACCCTTTCAGCACGGAAGGTACCACAATTATCAACTACAGAAATTACTCTGTTCGAATTGATAATATTACCTATGAAGACACCGAAATGTTCTATAGAAAGACATCAAAATGAAATTACCCCACATCGGAAACACCTCGATCGGTAGCAGAAGATCTATCATTGGACATGATGTAGTTGAATTTGATGGAAAATCAAAATGAATTACGACAGATAATTGAAGCATCGCTCAATCATTACATTCTGATCTACATCCTTATCGGCGCTCTGGCACTCGCCCTGACATATCGAACATGTCTTAGAAGGAAGAAGCTGACCATCTTACCACCGGCTCAAGTGAATTATGTGACGCCCATTCCCTCCCTCTGACCGTCACTTAATTCTGGGGAGGAGTTACTATGGCTATACCAGCCCGGCCCCCTTCAAAACCGCCTCACTCAA